CTTCAATGCCTCATACTATTTAAAACAGGTGCTCGAGGCAGCACTTCCCTAATTGCTCCCAGGAACATCAAAATTCTGTAAAATGGTCATAGAGTGTCATTAAAAAAAAAACTACAGTATTTTTTTCTTCTAAGATTTATTTTGTAAACATGTAAGAAAAGTTCTAGACGTTTATTGTTGGTCAGATTATGCAATAACAATCTGCCTTGAAGCAAGTGTGGTACTCTCAGTATTATCAAAAGCATTCTTTCCTCTTCTTCAAAGAAAGAAATGATTTAACTTCTAATTTACTTCTTGTTATATAAGCTTTAAAAGCAAGTATTTATGCATCAAACTTATTTGTGCAGCAGTTAATCTGTGAAGCAAGGGTTTGCTGCTGACTTTACTCCGAAGTGTGTGTTAGCATTTTACCATCACTTTAACCATGCTCCGCATGAGAAGTCTGAGGAATGCTGCTTTCGGCAAAAGGGTCGCTGCCAGGAATGAGCCCTGTTTCTCTTTCCCTGCTTTGGACTGTGGTCACTTTCCTCACCAACAGGACCAGAGGCTAAGAACTGTCTCAGCAATTCCTCTTTGAGGTCTCTCACTTACCTGTCAGCTTCCTTTCTTACCCTGGGACAAATAAATGCTTTTCTAAAAAATATTCGGGATTATCTATATGATTCCCTAGCAAGTTCTTTAGAAAGATAGGTAAGCTTAGGCTCAGATATGGCCAGATCATCAAAATTTGAAGTTTACTGAGTTCTACCTAATGAGATTTTTTTCTTATATGAGCACAGTGTATGCACCTCTGAATAATTTTCCCCTCTTTTAATCTGGTGGTGGTCTCATCTAGAATTAGACTAGCCTGCAGACAATGGTGCCAGGGCTGGGCTGGGTTATCACAATCCATTCATTTACCAAACACTTTTGAAGCACTAATTACTCTGGGCTGAATTGGTGGGAGGATACAGAGATAAGAACACGAAGACACCTGCTCATTAGGAGCTCACAGACTAGAAAGGAAAATAAAACATGAAAATACAGTGTGGTGTATATACATGGCAGAAAAATGAGGACTAGCCTGTAAGAGGGCCCCTTGGCCTCAGAGGATGGAGCTATTCCTGAGGCTGGGGGATTTATGAATTCATTACACGTTTGGGGAGAACATTCTAGGTGCTAGGCATAATAGTAGGCACTGGGAAGACACCAATTGACAAGCCAGACATGGTCCCTGCTCTCACGGAGCTTACAGCCTAGCAAAACGGAAAAACTGAGAATAGGAAATTATAGTCCAGTGTGTAGGTGTGCTGGGTTAGGGGATACAGTGATTTGGTATTATACATATACTCCACTGAGTTAAACACAACAGTATTTGTCTGAAAACATTTAGGAAAAAAAAAAAAAAAAAAGACAAAGGAAAAAGAAAAACTGTAAGCAGTTTGGACCATTCCACCTGGCCCTGTCACTAAATGAGCACAGACAGGTGGGAGGGCCTGGGCGAGCTTGTGCCTCTTCTGCTCCTGTGGCCTGCATCAGTCCCCATGGTCCTCAAAAGTGAGCTTCTTGCCTCAGTGTGATTCTAATGCCTAAAAGAGATTTTTGCACAAGATGGCCCTAATTGCAGGCCAACCACTTCACCTGGTGCTCAAGCAAAGAAACAGGGATCTGTTCCCACATCAGCAAGATATGACTGTGTGCGATCTCACGATGCTGGTCTTCAATACGGTGCCTTCCTTGGGATTTCCAAGAGAAATTTTAATTACATTCAACTTTTATCTTAGGTGCTGACTTTATAACTTAACCCTGGAATGAGGCAAGACTCCTTCATGGCAGTACCGTGAGACATATAGAAGAGGCTCATACCCCGGCTCTGGAAGTTGGGGATTGCCTCCTGGAAGGGCCCCTAAGACCTTGAGGATGAGGGGGAAAAAAGAAAGCAAGGCTGAGGCAGGATGGGAGAAGGCTGGGGGAAGTATGTCACTAGGGGTAGAAACAGCATTGTGTAGAGTACAGAAGGCTGGTGAGATCAAGATAGATCCAGAGAACTAGTGAGTGCAGGGCAGGGAAAAATGAGGAAAAGAGGCCAGAGATACTGCCAGAGGCTAGATCTTGACCAGCCTTATAAGTCATCAAAGGAGTTTGGAATTTACTCCGAGGGTGATAGTGAAGCTTTGGAAATATTTCAAGCAGAGGAATAACAAGATCGGATTTACATTTAAGAAAGTTCACCCTGAAGCACATAAAAAGATGCCCAATAGGGCAGGCCCGTGGCTCACTTGGTAGAGCGTGGTGCTGACAACACCAAGTCAAGGTTAAGATCCTCTTACTGGTCATCTTAAAAAAAAAAAAAAAAAAAAGATGCCCAACAACATTAGTCATTAAGGAAATGCAAATCAAAACCACAATGAGATACTGCTTCACACCGGAAATAACACGTAATAACAAGTGTTGGTGAAGATGCAGAGAAATTGGAACCCTCATACATTACTGGTGAGAATGGAAAATGATAACGGCTGTTGGGAAAACAGCCTGGCAGATCCTCAAAAGGTTAAAGATAGAATTACTACATGACTCAGCAATTCCATTCCTAGGTACAAACCCAGGAGTAATGAAAACATACCCACACAAAAAGTTGTACATGAATGTTCACAGAAACATTATTCATAGTAGCCAAAAAGTGGAAACAATCCAAATGTCCATTAACTGATGAATGGATAAATAAAATGTGGTATATCCATACAATAAAATATCACTCAGCAATTAAAAAAATGAAATACAAATACATGCCACAACATGGATAAACCTCAAAAATATATAAAGTGAACGAAGCCAATCACAAACAGACACATAGTACATGATTCCATTTATATGAAATGTCCGGAATAGGCAAATCCATAGAGACAGAAAGTAGACTAGTAGTTGCCAGCGACTAGGGGGAGAAGGGAATGGGGAGGGACTGGTAATGGGTACAGGGTTTCTTTTTGGTGATAAAAGTGTTCTCAAATTGATTATGCTGATGGTTGTACAACTCTTGTAAAAGCCACTTTAAATGGGTGAATTATATGCTATGTAAATTATTTCTCAATTAAGCTGTTAACAGCAACAAAAGTTCACGCCACTGTAGTGTGCAGAATGGAGAGGGAGAGAAAGGGCAGAGACCAGTGAAGAGGCTGCTATACAAATGGAGAACAGGACAGTGGTTGAACTAGGGGGAAGGATTCAGGGCATCAGACTGGAGAGGGGCCAGGGAAGGAGAGTTCAAAACTGGTGGTGGACTCCACAATTCTCCTGGGTACCTGATACCTCTCCCAAGAGGGACAGTGGGAGACAGAAATGAGGTATCTGCAATCATTATCAAGCAGCAAAAATGTATTTAAAATCTCCTACATGTAAGGACTAAAAGAAATACAAAGAAGTGTGCAGTCCTGCTGCTCACTTGCATGGGGAGTCCCCAGGATAAAAGCATGCTGAGCTGCCTGCCAGGAGTCTGTCCTGACTGTCCATCCTCACTTCTAAACTCCAAAGACAAGACCTGGCCACTCAGGGCACTCTCAAGATGTTGCGAGATCTGAGTGCCTGAGTGTGGGGCTGGAGAGTGAGAGAGGCTAATAAGGCCAATAACTCTGAGAAATAAACTTACATTTTTAAAGCTACATTTCTATGGTCTCTTTGTGTTCGTAAGAACTGTGAGGCTGCTGAGGTGGGTGTTTTCCTTGATTAGATCAAAGACCCCATTATGAATGCACACCACCCCCCTTCCCCTGGACAAATGGGCCTGAACTACTAGTGAGAAAGGGTCATGACTAGAAAACAAAAAGAAAAGTCTATGAAGGGGCATTTTCTAACCCTGCAGAGACCATGCTTGTGGGGACCCTGACCACAAGGACACCTCTGTCCCATCAGTAGAACCACAAACTGCAATGGAATGGGGATGTCCCTGTCCACAACCTCACGTGTGCACTCACTTGTCTCCTTGACCTTCCCCCACCTGCAACAGAAACTAATGCTGGACAGCCCACTACAGCCACAGCTTTGGGAAGAGTAAAACGCCACTGAGACACACCCACAAAGCCAGAAGTTCTGGTATAAGCCCATTCATTTGCTAGATGGAGAAACTGAGGCCCAGGTCCACACAGCAGAGCCAGGGGTGGGCAACCAGTTCTCTTACTCTCCAGCAATGGCATATCTCACTCTATACCCTGACTCCTCCTCCTAAGAGCCTGTCTCTCAGCTGTGTGCTTCACAGGGCAACAAGAGCTGAGAAACCTCAGAAACCTTAGGTCTCAACTGGCAGAGAAACCAGAACCACCTGCTTCCTAGAATCCTATTAGGAAGCTGAAACATATCATGGTTATAAGCTCTAATCATTCTAAAGGGAGGGAAAAACAGCAACTTAACCAAAAATATGGTACAATACAGTTTTTGTTGCAGCCCTCAAGTCTCACAGCCCTTTACTTTCTTTATTAACAACAGTGTTCTGTACTCACACTAGTGTAATCAACCATCAATGTGACCACTAGCTCAGCCACAAGTAAAGGATCCAGGGTTGCACCAGATGCAGAACACTCCAAGGCAGGTGAAGAGTTGTGATGTCACAAAAGGGACAAAGGCTTATTACCATCTCTAACTCCTAAGTTCTAGTGAACTGAAGTGAAACACTATTTTTAAGCCCCTAGAGGAATACAAAATTAAATACTTCAAAACAAAGATCAAACAGGAAGACAAAATAATCTACCTCCTTTTCACTGTAAAATAATCTGAAAGGGGTTTTAAAATAAACAAATTAAAATTTCTGTAACTATTATTGTATTTGCCAGTTTTGAAGAAGTGTTCAGGTGCTACAACTTGGAGACAGAATAAATATCAATGTATCACTTCTAAAGTGATAATAAGCAACAAGATTCCATCTCAGATGGATGGATTTTTTTCCTATGGTGGCCAAAAAGCAAGTTGAACACTATGTACAGCAAAGAGACTATACAACTAGGATCATTTAAAAATAATGAGACTCTTCTCTCTGCCTTCTTCCAAAGTATATAATATATATTTAACAGCACAAAAGAAGACACCACTTGAGCTTCCCCTGTGGCCAACAGGAAGAATTTCCACATATAAAAATTAAAAATTTAAACTTTTAAATCATTAATATTTTTTAAACATAATACAGACTTAAAAATTGTTCAAAATTAACCCATGACCCTACCCCTAGCACAAAAATTAACCCCAAATCCAGAAGTCACAGTTTTTTGTTCCTAAAAATCCCTCAGCACTGAACTTGATCTTCACATCAAGCTGATAGCTAATAGTAAGAGGCCCCTAACAGAAATCCCCGAGGGAGGAACAGAAGTGCGATCAATGCTGCATCTCGTCTACCTGGGCGGCACTGGTGCACCTCAGGGGTCAGGTCCGTGAGAGTCGGCCCCCACACTACGGTCCTGGCAGGGTGAGCCGGCAGCTTCCCTCATCTTCCCCCTCGAAGGCTGTCCAATAAGCACCTGGGAATTGACTTTTCTTGGGAAAAGGGTGCTGGTAACAGCTGTCAGGGCCAAGGCAATAGTGAGAAGTTCAGTTCTCTGCTCTTTGGATGAACTGTGTAAAACATTTCTTTTAAAAGACACAATGTTAAAAATATTAAGAAAAACGTCTACAAAATCTGGAGGGCTGCCTTTTCCTCAAAGGGTAAAGCTTGTGGGGTGGTGGGGAAAGAACTGAGGGCCCAGGACTATGACTGCAGCAAAAGATAGAGAGATGCCCTTCAAAACTCATCACATTCTTAAGATGTCTTGCTGGAGTAGCAAGAGCTGAGGGTGACTGTATGAGTAAGAGTGGGAGGGGCGCCAACTCCTGCAGGGGGAGGTTCCTACTGTGCGCCCCACCCTGTGCGACAATGTCAGGCTTTAGGGCAGCTGCCATAGGCCCCAGGGGCATCAGGACTCTGCCTCTGAACCAGAGCTGCTTTCCCGACTAACTTCAATCTGGAGAGATGGTAAGTTATCTAACCGGCTCTTCTTTTGGCGAGACTGTTCTTTCTCCTTAATCAGAGCCCCCCATGCCCTCTGCAGCTCAGAGTCATCTTCCTCAGTGCCGGGTGTCCTGTGATCCACTTTCTTCATACTCTTTTCTTTGGTCTTGGGTGCAGATCCTAAGCGATTCCATAAACTACCTGTTTGGGAGAGAAGGCATTTCAGTTGGCAGTCAACACTAAGAACCAGGGTACTGCTGAGGAAGCAGAGGCACTGCCAACTCCTGATGTGCAGGAGACACCAGCTGTCTGTGGTACTTGCAATCACTGTGCAGCCTTGGGTAGGTAATCTCATTCCCCTGCCTGCAACTGGATGCACCTGGACCCAAAAGGAGAGTCTCATCACTGGAGGCAGGTCGCCCCCCCAGCTAGAATCACTTGAGAGACTATTTCCCCTACAATTGCACCTCCCTGCTGAGACTCATCACCCTGTGTACCTCTTCATTCTGCTAGGAGTGGGCCATTCCCAGATCCTTTTCAGCTCTAACATTCTGCAAATTGACAGGCCTGCTACACTGTAAACTTTCAGAGATTCTGCCCCCCATCCATTAATTTTTAAAATATATTTTATTAAAATTTAACAACAGAGAAGTACATATTTAGAATTTTGTGGTACAACCGCACTATAAGGCAATTAAAAGTTTTATTTATGAAGGATATAACAATGTTGAAAAGTGATTATGATAAAATGCTATATGAAAAAAGTAGAATATACATATGGACAAAGATTTGTAGAGCACACATGAAGCTAAAAAGGATTGTGTGGTTTTTTTTCTATTTCTAAACTTTCTTTACTGTTAGCATTATGATGATGACAATAATTCTTTTTTTTTTCCAGGCTATGATGACAATAATTCTAGTAGAAAAGTAAAAAACATTTATTTTTGGCATGTGCTATTCCTGCCTTTTGCTAAGAAAGCATTTCTACGGTGTACCCACTGTCCTCTACTCTTACCCAATTCCCATTCCCATCAGTCTCAAGTGTTACCAACCTGATTTCTTCTCCCGAGTATCAGAGTAGAGGCCTTTAATATCTTGCCTGGGAACTCCTAGCCTACTATGTACATCAGAAGAGGGCTCTCTCCGAATGACTGGATTACTACTAAAAGCCTTTTCTGGAGAATATGGTCTTTTTCCTAATCGTTGGCGTATATCTGAAAAAAGAAAAAACGCACTACTGTGACCAAGTGTGCGTGCTTTACTATTGTACTGCTGATCTGAGATCTCCCAAGAACCCTGAACCACATCTCCCAGAGTGAGGACACAGGGCCTGACACAATCAGGCTTCCAAAAGCCTTTTCTCTTTGTAATCAACCTGGATTCCCCTAGGAAAATGTGGATGTAGGGGCTATCAGAGAAAAAAAGCCTCAGCTGATTGCTCCAGAAAGGAAATTCTGAAGCAGAATCAACATTTTGGGGGGAGGGTAGAACCAGACTAAATAATCTACAAAAATTTCAGCTAACAAACAATACTGCAAGCTCCCTGAGGGCAGAAGCCACAATCTTTGACATGTAAGCAGTTCTCAATATACTTATTAAATTTAACCAGTAAACACAATGAGATTTGCAAAAAGCAAAGAATCAAGGCAAGATGTCACAAACTAAATTTGTTTTTCTTCCAATCTCCCCCAGAAATCTGCTTGTCCTCTTGAGTTTCCTCTAACAACAGAAACACGTTCCTTAGCAAGGCCTTGTGCTCAGGCTTTTGCCCATCTCACTCAAACTTCTCTCAGAAGTTAAATTTCTCTCAGAGGGCGACAGCCCCATCTCTCTGGTCTCTCAGAACTGAGCCCCAAGTCTTCTCCCCCTTTCTTCCCTCTCTTCCCAGCACTAAGTCTTCCTTCCCAAGGCTTCCCATTCTCATGCCTTGACCTAGTTCAGGCTCTTCTTACTTAACTCTCTACCCCACTCCACCCCCAAGTTATCTTTCAAAAATAGATTTAAGATCAGGTTACTTCCCACTTCAAAAAATTAGGTTTGCCAACTGAGATACTATTCCCTCTCCAAGGTCTAGCTCTAAAGCCACTTTCTCTAAGAAGCCTTCCAGAATTCCCCCAGTAGACCTAGGATAGCTTTGTATTCCCTCCAAAGACATCTAATGTTCCCAAGGCCCAGCACATAGCATGCACAGCCAAATACCTGCAGAAGGAGTGTTTGCAACTATAAATGATCTAGTTCAAACTCTTAACCATTTACACAACCATCTGAGTTAATTTCTATTATTCTTGTATATGAAGTATACAATGACATACAAAGTAGAGACAAAAATATTGAAAGTTAGTTTTGCAAAAGTCTGATTATTTTTCATGTCCTGAAATTCTAATGCTTAGCCCAAAATTTAGAGATGATAAACTAGGACAACCAAAGGGACACTGCCAACACATGATATGCAGGAAACACTGGCAGTCTGCGGCACTTGCAATCACTACGTGGTTCACTAAAGGCAATGTTTAATCTAAGAACATATCCCTGCCCCAATTCTGGAGCTCAGAATGAAGCCCAGAAACATAACTGAAGAACAATACCTGATTTACTACTGCTGACTGGTGGCCGTGGATGTGAGTGCTGACGTTTTTCATCTAACAAATGTCGGACATCTGCAAATTTCTCAGGTGGTAATTTGTTACCAATTCGGTTTTTGATATTGCTTGTGGATATACTATCTGCCCTCATGGAGTTCCTTTAACAACAAATAAAAGGGGTGGGACATAGTTAATCAACTTCAACTGTGAGACAAGGCCCAAGCAACAATTTCATACTTTGGAAAAAACAATTTAAGAAATCCAATCTAATACAGCCAACATTCACTTACAAGTACCATACACTGATAATTACTCGTGTTTGCTTATGAAAACAATGATCAACTGCTATAAAGAGACTGGTCAGGGTGAGCAGGCTCCTGACTTTTCCAGGTTGATTTCCACACATGATATGTGTATACTATCACAGACCACATAACTGCAAGTCCCCTTCTCCTGGGGAGAGGGGGGGCCTACATTAAGGAGAGGCCTACAAAGAACTTGGGGCTCTTTGCTAACCGATGCTGTGATTTAGCTGTAGTCGAGATACAAATAGAGTCTATGAATCCCCTTCTTTACAGGGCAGACTTTTCTGTCAAAGAGATCTGCTACCATGCTAGCTACCAGCATTATTCTGGCAGCATTCTCTAACAGAAAGGTCTCTGAAAACTAAAAATACGGATGTCAACAAGACCATACAAACAAATCAGCTTGAATGGTCTTTTTCCTTCCCCCCAAATACAACACCAAGAACATCTTAGAGAGGACATCCCTAGACCCTAACCCCTGAAGCTGTGTACATACAATGTCCTCACAGAATCTGCTCATCCCTACGACTAATCAAAGAAGTGCACATTAAAATAACTATATGTTTTTTGTCCATGAAACTAGCAAAAATTAGAAGGAATGATAATACTTCAGTTTTGTGAGTATGTAGGCAACAGATGGTAAAGTGAGTGATTAATTTTTTATTTTTTATTTATTTATTTTTTTCCCTTTTTTTTTTTTTGTTTTTTTTTTTTTACTGACCGGTACGGGATCGCAACCCTCGGTGTCGCGCCCGTACCGGGGACTGGCAATGGGATCGCAACCCTCGGTGTTGTGCCCGCACCGCGCTCAGCCAGTGAGCGGGAACCGGTCACCACATGGGATCCGAACCCTCGGAGGGAGCGCCATCGCGCTCCCAAGCAGCGCACTCTCCAGTGCGCCACCGGGCCGGCCCTATTTTTATTTTTTAAAAGATGACCAATAAGGGGATCTCAACCCTTGGCTTGGTGTTGTGAGCACCACGCTCAGCTGGTGAGCCAACCGGCCATCCCTATGTAGGATCTGAATCCGTGGCCTTGGTGTTATTAGCACCCCACTCTCCCAAGTGAGCCACAGGCCGGCCTGTAATGTGAGTGATTTAAACCCTTCTGAGGGCTGGCCAGTTAGCTCAGCTGGTTAGAGCACAGTGTTATAACACCAAGGTCAAGGGTTCACATTCCCATACCAGCCAGCTGCCAAAAAATAAATAAAAACCAACCAACAAATATATAAATAAAACACTTCTGGAAGGAAATTTAGCAATACCACATTTTTAAAAATGTACATTGTTTGGGCCGGCCCGTGGCTCACTCAGGAGAGTGCGGTGCTGATAACACCAAGGCCATGGGTTCGGATCCCTATATAGGGATGGCTGGTTTGCTCACTGGGGAGAGCGTGGTGCTGACAACACCAAGTCAAGGGTTAAGATCCCCTTACCAGTCATCTTTTAAAAAATAAAAATAAATAAAAATGTACATTGTTTTTTATAATTACCAGACTTAAAGGAATTTAGTTAGTGCAATAGTAACAAAAGTAAAAAACCTAAATGTCCCTCAGTAAGGGATTGGTTAAATAAATCATGATACTTTCAAACAATGAACTAAATACAGTTGAAAAAATGACAGGTGTCTACAATATACTAAATGGAAAAAGCATGCTGCAAAACAATATAAATAGCATAACCACATTTTTATACAAATATATCTATAGTGTCTCCATGTGTCAGGTAAATGTATAAAAATAGCTGGAAGTTTATTCAAAGGTTCGATTCCCCCTACCAGCCAGCTGCCAAAAAAAAAGAAACAGCTGGAAGGTTATTGCTAACAATTGTTATCATCAGGAGAGGACAGGAATACATGTGACTTTTATTCTCTATACTGTGTATAATTTTATAACGAGGATCACTGCCTGTATGAGGAAAAATTGTATGCTTTTATTCAACTCCTATAAAGGACTGAAATTAGGATAAAAGTGATTACAAAATTAAAAAGAATTAAGAAGTAATTAATATTTAAAATCAAATTAAAACCTAGCATTGATAAAAATAAAAAATATTTTTACCTAATATTTTTCAACTGAGATTCCACTTCATCAGCATACATAGTCATTTTCATGCTTTTTTTTGGTGAAGGGGTGGAAATCATCTTCAGTTCTAGATCATAGTCCATCTCATCCGAGTCTGAGCTGCTGGCACTGGACCGCCTCGATGTGCTCCGCTCCCGGGACTGCTTGAGAGCTGGGAGTTCCTCGTGATACTCTACCACCACCCTGTCGTCTGCATCCATGTCCTGGTCTTCCTCCTCCTCCTCCTCCTCCTCTTCCTCTTCCTCAATGGGTTCCTCAGGAACATTCACTAGTCCTGAAGAAATTTAACCAAAAAACATTGAAAAAGCACTAAAACTAATAGGCATGATTTTCTATTCTATGTTGGTGACCTTTTTAAAAGATGGGGTTTCCATCCCTGAGGTTTTATTAGAGCACTATCTATAACAGTGCCAAACTGAACACTATTCTGATACCTACAACAGGAGAATGGTTAGGTAAAGTATGACATAGCAGCCTAATGGAATATTATAAAGTCATTTAAAATATAGTCGATCCTCATTATTCACAGATTTCGTATTTGAAGATTTGCCAAATTTATTTGTAACTCCGAAATCAATACATATGCAGCACACTTTCATGGTCATTTGCAGATATGTGCACAGTGGCCAAAAAATTGGAGTCATCAGACATGCACATTCCCAGCTGAAGTCAAACCAAGCAACACTCTGCCGTCTTATTTCATCTCTCATACTGTAACCAAGTGTCCATTTCACAGTCTATTAAGTGCTACATTTTTCACTTTTTTGTGTTTATTGGTGATTTCACTGTTTAAAATGACCCCTGAGCATAGTGTTGAAGTGCTCTCTAGAGTCCCTAAATGCAAGAAAGCTGCAATGGGCCTTATGGAGAAAATCCACATGTCAGATAAGCTTCGTTCAAGCGTGAGTTAGAGTGCTATTGGCTGTGAATTCAATGTTAATGAATCAACAATCTATATTCAATACGGTGTCTTTAAACAGAAACTCATGTAAACAAGGTTACGTACTGATCATCTGACAAAACTGGTGCGACCAGAGGCTTTGTATTATTCAGTATTTGTTAATCCATTTGCAGTGATTTTATAGAACAAAACCACCATGAATGATGAAAATCAACTGTAACTTTAAAGTTCATGAAAAGCATTTATAAGGGGAAGAAACAAAATATAAAGTATATGTTCACAAGAATTATAACATTTATTATGAAAATAGACAAGGGAAAAATGCAAGATGAAATCGATTGTTACATTAGGGTGCTAGAATTAGGGGCAACTGTTTTTTAATTTCTTTAATATGAATATAAAGAGTATATGATAAAAATATCTTAAAGTAACTGAAATTGGAAAAGTGTAACTATTTAATAGAAAAGTATGTGCATTATTAGTATGCAGATCTCAAACATACAATTTTGTACATACGCATTAAATAAAAAGGTATAGACTTCATCTCTTCCTGTCCCCATTACAATGATAAATGTGTGTGCATGTTATTCTGAATGTATGCTGACTTGGCTAGTTCGATAAAGTAGAACATATTCCATAGATTAGGCTCAAAATAAAAACAAGTCTTTATAAAACATAATGAAAATGGTTATTTTACAATAAGCACACATACAAAAAGAAATCCAGATCATGATATCTCACTTTTCTGAGGCATTCATGTGTACAAGCCATAAGCATAAAAGCACTCAACACAGCAGCCTATTCTCATTATCAGAAAGGAAACAATAATATCAGCTCCTCTGATAGAATAATTAAAATTTTTTTTCATGCAGCTGTTGATATTAATAATAGAAAATTAGGTTCCTAATAAAAGTTTTATTTTAATTTTCCCTATGTCACATTTGGCCTTTTTTGTTAGAATAGCTTTTATAAAATCATTTGACCTTTTTGTATGGGCAATTTAAAATTAATCTGACATGACTTACTTTCCTATATGTTGGCAGAGGGTGAGGGCAAGGAAGAGAGGATGATAAAGTTTGGAACCTTAAAAAACTGTATTAAGTATAAAAATATGATTTCGGGAGCCAAACATGTGTCTACCCAAGAGCTGAGCAGGCAACTACCGGAATGTCGGTGCTTATACGACGTCAGGCCAACATCATCCCCAATCAGGGCTCTCTTCTTGATCACATCCCGCTGAATGCGACGGGAATGATATCTTCGCTTCCTGAAACATTGCCAAAATAAGCACATAATAAAAAACTAATAGAGAGAACCTTGAAATCCGTAAATTCGTTTCAACTACACACTGATGCAATGTTAGTTGCTGAAACAGAGATATTTTATTTTTTTAAAAGATGACTGGTAAGGGAATCTTAACCCTTGACTTGGTGTTGTCAGCACCACGCTCTCCAAAGTAAGTGAACCAGCCATCCCTATATAGGGGACTGGTAAGGGAATCTTAACCCTTGACTTGGTGTTGTCAGCACCACGCTCTCCAAAGTAAGTGAACCAGCCATCCCTATATAGGGATCCGAACCCTTGGCCTTGGTGTTGTTAGCACCACTCTCCCAAGTGAGCCACGGGCCAGCCCTGAAACAGAGATATTTTAAATGGAACTGAAACTCAGCAAGCCCACATTGTTTACCACTGTTAAGACTCTTGAATTCTCCCCCTGTTGTTTTCCTTCCAGTCCACATCAGGTTTAGACATTTCACTACAGAATACCAACTGAAGGATAAGAAAAGCTTAGACACTATTTAAACTATTGTACATATTTTAAGGTTTTGGACTTACCAAGAATTGCTAAGAATTCCTTTCATGCCTCCATAATTTGGATTTCCATATTTCATGTAATACTGACTTCTTCTGGCTGCTCCAAGTTCCTTTTTATCATCTAAAAATTAATTAGAACAATTACCTGGGATTTTCTGTGTGTGTGAAGACAATGTTGAATGGTTTTATTTTTTAACAAAGAATGTTTTCCATAGCTAGGATTAGATCAGCACAATCTGCCAACAAAAAGGAAGGATCCACTATAAAACATTCACTGCAGTGTGAAGTGGGTAGAGCAAAATGCAGAGATGAATGAGGTTAAGCTGCTGTTTAAGAACTTACTGACTTAGCGGAAATGCTACAAAAAATAATTATATATGGGGCCGGCCCGGTGGCGCACTGCGCTAGTGCGCCGCTTGGGAAGCGCGGCAGCGCTCCCATCGAGGGTTCGGATCCCACATACAGACCGGTTCCCACTCACTGGCTGAGTGAGGCGCGGGGGCGGCACCAAGGGTTGTGATCCCGTTGCCGGTCCTGGTCCGGTACGGGAGCGACACTGAGGGTTGCGAACCGTTGCCGGACACGGAAAAAGACAAAAAAAAATAATAATTATATATAAGATGTAAGGTTCCAAGAGACATAAGAGCTTTAGTCATTAAAGGTGTTCAAGAATGAAAAGGCTTTCTTGAAGAGGTGACATTTCTGCTGCCCCCTGAAAGACGATACTCATTTCTGAATGACAACAGTCCAACAACACAAAATCAGGGTTAAAGAAACAGACTATACACAATTCTATATATTTGACAAATCATTTTGTCCAGCTTATTGTGATGTTCCTCAAAATGTCTTAAAGAAAACAGCATAGTTCCATACATCTAGAATGCACTCCAATAGCTACACAAATGAGTAAATATGGAAAAGATCACATTAGTCAAGTTAAAATACCAGCTAACAGGAAAGAAAGGTAGTCAGTGATCACACGTTTTTGTCAAAAGCAGTAATATAAAGGCCTCTGACAGCTCCTTGGACATTCTCTGACTGTGAAGGACAAACGCCACTGTAAATGTATCCAGTGCTGAAGGTAAACATGGCAACAGAAACTAGTATGTACAAACCCACAAAAATCATGCCCACCAGCTCGTTGCAGAAATGGCTGATTCCAGATCTAGAATAGGTAAAGTACAAATTGAGTCTGGAAAAACAAGATGTTTTGTTGTGCCACGAAGTAAGAAAGTGCTCAAAGAATCATGGGGCATGTCAAAACACAGCTTGAAAAGGCTCTACTGGCCAAATTCAAGACAACTGGGAATCAAAATATTGTTAGTAGCGGATAATTCACTGAATAAATAAGAATCCATGAATCAAAACTGATGTAACAAAATAAGTAAACAAAAAAACAAATAAGGAAAAAGCTCTTCCTTAGAGCAGCCTGCCAACTAATAAAGAAATTACGTAGTTAAAAAATCATCAATGGATGCTAAAGCCATTATGTGGAACTCTTATGAGCAACAGGCTATTTACATAATCTCAAAGTATCTCCCCACCAATGTTTTAATTACAAACAAAAAACCAGTAACTTCACAGTGGAAAAACCTGGTGATTATTACCTTAACCAACTGAATAAAGTCAACATCCCTGGTAATGGGACAAATAAATATCATGTGCCTCCTGATATGATGCACTGAAAATGATACAACATCACTGCTCAGATTCCTGCTTCGAATGCACAATCCAAATTTAATTAGTAGAAAACATCGGGCAACCTTAAACTGAGAAACATTCTATAAAATGATGAGCTTATTATACTCTTAAAAAATGTCAGTCAAGGAAAACATAAGAGCACAGGAGTAGTCCCAGACTAAGGGAGACTGAAGAGACATAACAAACTTAAACACCAGTCCCGGATTGAGTCCTAGACCTGGGGGATCTATAAGGGACATTATTGGAAAAACTGATAAAAATCTGAATATGAACTATGGATTAGGTAATGGTTTGTATTAATATTAAATTTCCTGGTTTTGATAATTGTGCTGTGTATAAGACAATGTCCTTGTTCTTCAAAAATACATATTGAAGTATTCAGAGGTGAAGGTTTGTTATCTCCAACTAACTATCAAAAGATTAAAAAAACCTATATGTGTATATGTGTATACATATACATACCCACATACATATATTTTTTAATGCCCACCAAAAGATGAATGGCATATTAACAATATCCAAGAGGAGGTTGCTATGATGAATAAAAAAGTATAATTTTAAAAAGTTTTCAAAGTTCAGCCATGACATGGCGCTGGGCAAGGATTTTTTACATAACACTTCAAAAGCACAAGAAATGAAAGCAAAAACAGACGAATGGGATTACATCAAACTAAAAAGCTTTTGCACATCAAAGGAAACTGTTAACACAGATGAGACAACCTACAGAATGGGAGAAAATATTTGCAAACTATACATCTGACAAGGGGTTGGTTAATATCAAGAACATATGAGGAACTTAAACATCTTAACAGCACAAAAAAGATATCCCAGTTGAGAAATGGGCAAAGAATCTTAACAGACATTTCTCAAAAGAAGAATACAAATGCCAACAGGCACATGAACAAATACTCAACATCACTAACCATCAGGAAAATGCAAATCAAAACACCACCTCACTCCAGTTAGAATGACTATTATCAAAAAGACAAAAGAAAACAAATGTTGGCAATGATGTAGAGAAATGAGATCACTTGCAAACTGTTGGTAATGTAAGCTAGCACAGCCATTAAGGAAAACAGTAGGAAGTTTCCTCAAAAAATTAAAAATAGAACTACCCTATGACCCAGCAATCCCACTACTGGGTATATACCCAAAGGAAATGCAGTCAATATGTTGAAGAGATATCTGCACTTCCATGTTTACTGCAGCACAACTTACAATAGACAAGATATGGAATCAACCTAAGTGTCCAACAATGGAAGAAGGGATAAAAAAAATGTGGTATATATACACAATGGAATATTATTCAGGCACAAAAGAGAATGAAATCCTGTCATTTGCAGCAACATGGATGGACTTGGAGGTCATTATGTTAAGTCAAGTCAGCCAGGAACAGAAAGACAAATGCCACATGATCTCATGCATATGTGGAATCTAAAAAAAAACAGCTGGTATCATAGAGACAGAGAGTAAAACAATGGCTTCCAGAGACTGGGGAGGAGAGGGAAGAAGGGAAAATGGAGAGGTTGGCCACCGGCACAAAATTACAACTAGAAAGGAGGAATAACTTCCAGTGTTCTACTGCACAGTAGGGTGACAATGGTTAACAGCTAAGTTGTGTAAATTACATAATAGCTAGAGGATAGGCTTTTGAATGTTTTCTCCACACAAAAAAAATGATAAAAGCATGAGGTGATGGTTACATTAACTACCTGGACCCAATCATTATACAATATATGTGTACTGAAACATCAAACTGTACCCCATAAGCATGTACAATCACGTCAATTAAAATAAAAGTTTTTATAGTTTAGATGATAACTGGCTGAAAGCACATGAAACCAGCTTTAACAGAAAATAACTTACTTTAACCAGAAATCACAAAAGTATACCAATAGTTAACAATAACTTTCAAAGTTAGAAATTCCAACTCAGGCAGCAAGCCATTATTTCATATGTACAGAATATTATAGTTTGAAGGGAACTTTGAGATTACTCGATCTAACTTCTACTCAAAAGAGAAGGATGTCACTCTATAATAAATCGTCCTGATTGAAAATAGAAACCAATACCAAAAATCACATTTACCTTTTGTAGCAAATCTCATGAATAACCTATTTCCTTTAGCAAGTTTGTTGGCTGGACGAAGATCATTTCTTAACAGAGATTCCTCTTCTACCTGAGACAACGTGTCCAACTTAAGAAAAAAGAGTTTTATATTTTCAATATAAAAATTAAAGTCTTTTTCATATTTATTCAGTAGTCAAATTATCTTCAAGAAAGCATCCTATTTTTTTTGTGGGGCAAGGGGGACAGCTGGCCAGTATGGGGATCCCAACCCTTGACCTTGGGGTTATCAGCACTATGCTCTACTGAGTGAGCAAACCAGCCGGCCCACATTCTACCTTTTTACCAGGAGATACTCAAATTGAAAGGAAAAAGGAAAAAAAAAAGAAAAGAAAAACCGAGAATATTCTACCTTTAATTCTACTTAACAGCATTACAGCACTCGTTCCTCTGTAGAATTTCTAAGTCAGAGATCTTTCCTGGCCACCTTGTCCAAAAGAATAGTCTCCATCATTCTATATCTCCTTACCCTTCTTTACATTTCTTCGTAGCACTCATACCTCCTGAGATCATATTACATATCTGTGTATGTGTGTATTGTCTGTCTTCCCCACTAGAATGTGTCTTCCCCACTAGAATGTACCTTCAAGAGGGCAAGGACTTTGTTTTGTTTGAAGTTATATCCCTAGCACCTATAATTTGGTATATAACAGGTATTCAATAAATATTTTTTAAATAAATACACTATAATATTTCTAACAATATACCATGACTTGCTTTTTCTTAATTTTACTGATTAGATAACACTTCAAAGTATTTCGCAATAAACCATTTTCTTTTATGCAGAAGTGTGAGTACTAGTCTAAGATCTCAAGATGGATTGTTACATCCATTCAAACTTAAAGGCCAAGGGTCTGGTGCATCCTCATAAGGTCTAATGGTGAAAGCTAGAGAAGAACACAACTTACTAAGTCTTTAAGCCTTAAACAAAAGACAGTAAGCAAATTTTTACAATAAAATTTTACATACATCTTCACCCTATTACTAACCTCTACATCACTTGAGTTCTCATCTTCAACTTCTCCTTCTTCAGCCTCATCATCATCTGAACTGTCTTCCTGCTTGTCTAAAATAAAACATGAGGAACAAGACGAACCTTAATGTAACTCCATCTCATAATTTTAAAAGTCAGTTTCTCCTCCTAATTACTGATAACCCAAAGTATCACAGCTTACTTCAGAAACACTTGGTGATAAGACGCTACATAATGCCCTGCTTAGAAACCCAAAGATCCAAAACAGAATTGTGTAAAGAACAGGACTTTCGGGTCAATGTTCCCTCCTTTGTGTTCACTTACCTTTTTTACTTTTCTCAGATGACTTGTCCTCATTGGCATCCCTGCTTCTTATCTTATCCTGGGCTGGCAGAGAGCTCATATTGATAAGAGCTCGTGTGGCTGTCATTTCATCCAGCCAAACCACATTACCTAAAATAACACGTAAAATAAAACATTACATTGCACCCAAATGGTAAGTTTCTTGACAGCAGATTCTACATCACACTAATTGCTATAGCCTCAGGTAGCCACAGACTGTCACCAGTAAGTGTACAAACTAACTAATGAAAAGAAATATAGAAAGTGGTAGTAAAACCTCTTTGATGAAATTAGCTTAGAACTGCATTCCCAAACTGGGTTCCACAAAATATTTGCTAAGTACTCAAGAGTCCTCTGAAAAGCTCATGGAAAAATAGAATTAAAAGATAATATGAATCTCTACATGAATTTTTTGAAGTACCCTTGTATTCCATGAAAAAGGAGTTCTGTATGTTAAAAGTGCCTAGAACACAGTGAGTACTATGTGTTAGTAGTTCTTAATGATGATGGTGACTGTCATATAAATTCGGAATTTCCTTTATACTACTGCTCCTTACAGGGGAGCCCTTTACTGCTGCTTGTCATCTGGATATGCTAAAAGATGCTTCCCCACTGAAAAGTGTGGGTGATGACAGTGTTCATGGGATATGTAAAACAGAGGCATGATAGCCACTTGGCTTTGTAGCAACTAATTTATTAGAAAGAGAAGGGCTTTGAGAAGTCCTGTAGAAAAGAAAGCTCTTTAACTCTATTTAAGACAGCATTTTTCAAAATTATGTGGGTACTTCAAAAAGTTCATGGACGGATTCATATTACCTTTCAAATCTTTTTTTCCCACAAACTTTTTGAAGTACTCTGGTATGTGGCCCCTATATCTCAGTTTGGGAAATAAAGGTCTAAAGATCTCTGTTACTAATATGCCACATGGCCTTGAACAAATATCCTTTCTCTGCTTCTCAGTTTTTGATGTACAATATGTGGTAGCTGAACTTGATGATTCTAAGAGTCCCTCCAACCCTAATATCCTTTAGCTACAGTTTTAATATTTATACCAGGCGTTAGCAAACTACAACCCACAGGCCAAATCTAGCCTACCACCTGTTACTTATTTATATTTGTATCAGCTTTATTTAGGTATAATTAATGTACAATAAACTATGTATCTACCACCTATTTTTGTAAATAAAGTTCTACTGAAAAACAGCCAGGCTCATTAGTTTATGTATTGTTCATGGCTATTTTCATGCTACCAAAGCAGAGCTCAGTAGATGTGACAGAGACCGGATGGCCTACAAAGCCTAAAATATATACTATTTAGCCCTTTATAGAAAAAAGGTTACCAACCCCTGATTTGGATAGTGTAAGCTAAGCAGAAAGAAAAAAGGAGAAAAATCTTTTATTCAGTCATGTTTCTTCTTTCAATGAAAACACTGAATCAACAGCTTCTTAAGAGAGCTGCCAAGAATACCAGGCTGCTATCTAGGGTACTACCTAGTAGGTCAGCCAGCTGGCAGCAAGTAAAGCCAGACTAGAAGTAAGGCAAGACAAGAAGCCGGCAAAGTGGTTTCCAGAGGTCAGGCTAGGCTTGGAGTGGGGAGGCAAGTTAAAAAGTACAGTTAGCTCACAAGTTGGGTGGCTCACAGTTAAGGCAAGCAGAGCTGAGAGGTCTGGTTCAGTGTGAGAACATTCTGGTCTCATTTTAGGTCACAGACAGTGAGGCAGAGCCAGCCCTCCAAATAACTGTATGGCAAGTAGCAATGACAAAATCCAAAGCCCTGAAAACGCAATCCCAAGTCTATCCAGTTGAATCCACCCCTTTGCTGGGAAATTGCGACTGTTAAAGAGACTTCAATCATGTACACTAGACTCAGAGACCAGTAATCAACCTCTTAGAGCCTTTGTCACCACCTCTAAGCCGACGTGGAATACCCATGGGGTATGGGCTGGCAGACTGGTTAAGGCATGGAGGTTCTCATCAATGTGAAATTTTTTCTCTTCTAAGCTAAGGGCAGAGGTTAGGCGTATACAAGTAGTCTGGGCCATAATCATTTACCATCTCAGATGGTAAGAACACTTTAAAAATCATCAATGAGAGCTGGCCCATGGCTCACTCGAGAGAGTGCAGCGCTGGTAGCACCCAGGCCACGGGTTCGGATCCTATATAGGGATGGCGGTGTGCTCACTGGCTGAGCGTGGTGCGGACCACACCATGCCGAGGGTTGCGATCCCCTTACCGGTCAAAAAAAAAAATCAACGAAAGCATATTCAACAGAAAACTTGAGTGTACTTACAAGAGGTGTCATCCAACCATTCAATGTGAGCCGGAGGATATTCTTTAAAATAAGAAAAGATATCCTGGGTACTCATCTCATCTACTCCACAGATGTAGATTGTCTCCAGTCTCACTTTGGGGATTGCTAGAAAAAGAAGGCACAGAAAAGATGACAGAATTTCCTTACCTGCTATTGCAAATCCCAACAATATTCCTTTATAACTGTTCAGATATCATATGCTTAGAAAGAAATATACTGAAAGAAACAATTAGTTCAAAAGAACATGAGACATGACAGTAAGGTAAACTACTTTCATTTTTATCACTGAACAACAGCATTAAACAAATAATTTAATTTAGAACAAGCATATTAGGCTCAGAAAGATTAAACAAATGGCGCTGATAAAATACATGATACCTCTCCCAAAATTAACCTGTAGTAATCAAAGCAATATTACACAAGACTATTCATTGAACTTGACAAACTGATTCTAAAATTTTTCACATTTGTCAAAAAGAAACATGTAGTAGTGGAGAAAATTCTGAAAAAGAAAAGACACTCCCATTGAGTATATCGAAGCACAAAACTAGATTAAAGAAACTATAATATGAAACTAGATATAAAGAAATCTACAAATCAATAAGAAAATAATTCAAAATAAAAATGGGCAAAGGACATGAGCAGGCAGTTAATACAAAAGGCCAATAAACATATGAAGAGATGGGTTCACTACTAATTCAGAAAATGGACATTAAAACAAGAATGTACCAGTTTTCACTGACCAGATTTTATTTTTTTTAGAATGAAATATTGGTGGGAGTGGGGGCGGGGAAGCAGGGAGTTACTCTCTCTGTTGGTGGGAGTATGAACTGGCATAGCTACTCTGAAGGGCAAACTGGGAGTATCTACTAAAATATAATTTAGTGGGGCCGGCCCGTGGCTCACTCAGGAGAGTGCGGTGCTGATAACACCAAGGCCACGAGTTTGGATCCCATAAAGGGATGGCCGGTTTGCTCACTGGGTGAGCGTGGTGCTGACAACACCAAGTCAAGGGTTAAGATCCCCTTACCGGTCATCTTTAAAAAAA